GGCATGTGGAAGAAGAATTATGTAGAACATATCAAAAGCTTACAAGTTTTAAGGCCAATGGTAAGTCATCATTTTTTTGGGAGGGATGAGGGAGGGAGGGGTGTTGTCACATCAGTTAGAATTAGGTAGTTTTTGGCGCTCGGCAAATTCGACACTCACTGATCAGTAGTCCTCTGGGATTTCTTGATAGTGTAATGAATTGTGGGATAGCAAATTTAAAAGTAGAGCAAAATGACGGCTTCTTTGGTTTCACTATCCCATAATTCATCATTGTTTTCAAGAAAGAACCCTAGATGACAGGCTTAGATTGGTTGAAAATAATATCATTAGAACAGGACTTTAGTAGAAAACTTGTTAGATTATGGAGAAGAAAAATTCAAACGAAAATTGCGATTCAATTTTAATTAGATTGGATCAAATTGGTCCCATTTGAAATTTCCTGGACATAAATTTGTAATTTGTATTTTATAGACACCTGGAAAGGGAAAATCTATGAGTTAATATCCTATGATTTGTAATTTGTATTTTGTAGACACCTAGAATGAGATACAAACTCAATAGGGGTTTATATTGTTTGATTTGTAATTTGTATTTTGTAGACACCTGGAATGAGACACAAACTTAATATGAGTCCGAAAAGTATGAGAAAGGGAGGGAAGGATTACGAACTAGACAAACACAAGATTAAAGTACCATGGAAAGGCTCTGATCCTGTACCTCAAGATACATGGAGATATAATGTACTGGATAACAATGATGTCGTGGAGGAAGTCAACAAACAGTAAGCTCCCTTTTTTCTTCGAGCTCTTTATCGATGTTATTTTTTAGAAAGCCTAAATGCTTGTATAATATCCATACTGAACTCATCTGATAAATTAAGATAGCAAGTGGCTAATTCTTGATTCAATATCAGTCCATTTTAAAGGATTTTGGTCAATTAGTCTGGTTGCCATGGTTTCTAGCATCTCTCATTGCACACTGCATGGTGTCCCATCATTTTGTATATAACTAGTTATTTTGATTTGACCTCACCTAAATGCTCACTGAACTAACAATAGACCGTCTATGTAGGATGTAAAATACAATTCATTGTATCTGTTAAAGGCAAGTAAAAGGTGACAATCTTTAAATGTCCATCCTAAAATGTTCTCTCCAGGTCATCTTTATATTTTACTTCACCTAAATGCTCAGTAAGCTGACAATACACCCCCTATGTAAAAAGGTTTATGTAAAAAGGATGTAAAATACAGTTCTTTACATTATGGTAAGGGTCCAAGGTAACCATCCTAAATTATTCTCTCAAATTCAACCATTTGTATTTTTACTTCACCTAAATGCTCAGTGAACTAACAATACACCCTCTATTTAGACGACAGAAGAAAGTGTGTGGTGATGAAGCCCTACGAGTCGCTCAAACTGCCAAAAGTAAAGTGAATACTGGAAATATTCTACGCTCTTCTTCAATGACTGTAAGTCTAACTCAAAACAAAAATTTAGTTAGGTGTCTAATTAAGCAATAAACTGTTAGCCTATGGCGGTTATGGTCGCATATCAGGACAAAGGTTGGCTGGAAAATTGAATAACTTTGCATTAGAACATTTATGATTAATTTTCCAGCCAACCTTTGATCTGATATACGACCATAACCACCATAGGGTAACAGTTTATTGTTTATATTTACGTTTTCAAGACATTTTAATTTTGATACAAAGACTTTTGTATGAATTTAAGTAGGGCCTATTTCTTTACGTTTCAACGTTTGGGACTACCGACATGATTGTTTACATTGGAGACCGTCTATTTCATACAATGACGTCATTGGTTAAAATTACTACGCCTAATGTTTTGGTGATGAGGCAATGTTGTTTACAGTGATATAAACGCCACACAAATTTGTATTAGTCCAATGGACAAAATAATAGCTAATGTAAATATTTTTGTATAAATGAGTAAATTTCCCCGTTTCTTTTAGCGTATGAATACAATAGGTCCCAACAGTAGAAAAGTTTGGGCGGAACTGAAGAAGAAAAATAAAACAGTTTGTATAGATGTTCCCCGACCAGGACCTGTCAGTCCTCCTCCTAAAACACATCGCTCAACTAGAAAATCACCCACAAGATCTGCTCGAGACCCTCCGTGTAAGTTACTCTGTTAAAGGGACAACCTCTTTTTTTGGGGGGTTGATTTGGGTCTTGAATATATGTAAATAGTCTTCAGAAGTACTAGAAATGTAAGAAAATCACATAATTCCTTTAAAAATATCTCAAACTAGGAATTTTACTCACTATTTCTATAGATATCTTTTCTATATATGACAGTGTCTCAAGAAAAGACGAGTCATCATTTTAACTTTCAAACACGGATAATTCTGGACACACATGGAATTGAAGGCTCAAATTTCGACAGTGAGCTGTGAACACTATTACTGATTAGCTTAACTAAAAAATTCCTGTATCTGAGACTAAAGTATGATTGGTCAAAAATGTTTCTTCTATTTTCAGCCAGTAATTTATTCTCCAAGAAACCATGGAATGTCCCTGATTATGATTCCGATAACTGAAGATTGAACATTCCAGAATTTTAATTTTTTGATTTAATTTTATTATCAATTTTTAAGCATTCCAATTATGAGATACGCATTTTAATAAAAGTATTCTAATATTAGAGTCAAATTTGTGTTTTAAAGATGGGTTCCCTTATTTTCATTGATGAAAATGTAAAATGTTAATACTTATATGAATAGAAAGTAGAGGTGTTCTAATGACTTGGAAAAATACCAGTTTGTCTCACATGTCCATAATTAATTCATAATTAGCTAAATTAGAAGAGAATTACCAGCAGAATTCCAATGGGTGACCGATCAAGAAAGGTCAAAAAGTCTTTTTTTGTTTATCCAGACTGTACATACATGGACATTTATGATTGGTTAAAACTCTTAATTATATGCAATAAGAACATAATGATATGATTAAGAATACATAATAATTTATTAGAAACACCAATTTATCAAATAGTTTGCTTAATTTGACACTAAAAAATAAGGAAACCCATCTTTAATTTGACACTAAAAATAATGATAATATTTTAGACTAGATTTTTAAATTTATTAGTTGTAAATGTCCGTCCTTGAAATTTTGTTTTTTACAGGAATTTTATAGATTAAAAGGAATTGTAAAGGAGGTTTTCTGAAAAATTTTTATGTGTATCAGGGACACTGATAACATCAATTTACACCATTCTAATTTTCAATCAGACTTCTGTGGTTCCTGTAATTCCACTAAAACTAAGTGTTTGATGACATCACTAATCACAAAATATGCTTTATCACATAAGGGCCTTTGCAATTAGTAACATCATCAAACACTTTGTTTTAGAGGAATTGCAGGAACCACAGACATCTGATTGAAAATTGGAATGGTGTAAATTGATGCTATCAGTGTCTCTGATACATTTAAAAATTTAGAAAACGTCTTTACAATCCCTTTAAAGTTGTGAGATCCGTCCCTTCTATATGTCAAATTTTCAGTGTATGTAAATAAAACTCTCTCCCCTCTTCCCCCTCCCCCCACCCCTACCCCCTCCTTCTCTATGTGATATTGTTTTGTGCCTTGTTGTAATGTTCAAGTTGTGATTCTGTGGTCTGACAAAAATTTTCATGACCTTGAACCCGAGATATATAGAAATTTATTCAGATCATGAATGAAAAATGGAAATTACAAAATTATCTAGATCTGCAAGAGAGTCACCCATAGATATAACATGAAACCAACATTCAGATCTGCATTTTAACAAGTGTTCTGAATTTTTTACCCTACCCCTCTCAGATATAAAATAGCCTCTTTGTTAGTTTCTGTGATATTAATGTTATCTGTTTTAATGTAGGCCTATATTTAAAGGGATTTTAAAGAGGTTTTCTTAACTTTTTATGTGTATCAGGGACACTGATAGCATCAATTTTCATCATTCTAATTTTTAATCAGACGTCTGTGGTTCCTGCAATTCCACTAAAACTAAGTGTTTGCTGATGTGACTAATTGCAAAATATGCTTCACCCTTAGTGACTTAGGCCTACATATAAAAAATTTAGAAAACCTCTTTACAATCCCTTTAATTCATCTATATTAATGATTCTATTTATGAAGAACTATTTTTTTTTTGTAATAAAAATTGAATCATGTATTTCATGTGTTGGGATGCCAATTTGATAAACCAAGATGCAGAATGACATCAGGTGTTCTAAAAGTGTGGCCACACCCTTTAATTGCAGTAGACTAGCCCAAAGAATTATTGTTAAAAAAATTTGGAAAATTTGCTAACATGAGTTGTGGTCTAGATCCATTTGTGACCACTTTTCCTACCTCCTTGAATGAAAACCATGGCAACCAGCAACCAAATATTTCTGAGGTATTTTTTTATTTATTTTGAAAAAACAACGTACAAACAAACAAAACACAGGAATATAATTTGGTTTAGTCGAGCATTTCATTTTCAAAATCTGATTGAAACTCAGCTGTGTAGATTTTGTTTCATTTTTTAAGGTGGGTTCCTTCACTCATTCTAAAAGTGAAACAAAATAGCTTGAGCTGTATTCCAAATCAGATTGAACAAAATTGAGATCCAGGAAAATATTTGAGCTTTTGATGTAACATGTGGACCTTGGAAAATGTACCTCCAGTTTAAAAATATATTTCCTGATGAGGGTCATTTATCAAAAACAGCATCATGTAAGATTAATGACAAAATGGCCTTGATGGATGAAAGGTCAAACTTTTAAACCTTTGTTAAATCAATATGCAAACCACACTTCGCTCATCTTCACATTGGTACGCCATTGCCGACTTTGTCTATACCTTGACATCATTTTGCACTATTCTATTACATTGAGGCTTACAGTATACAGACCTTCTGTCAAGGCCTCTGATTGGCTGTATTCAGTAGCATACAATCCAATCAAATCACTGCATTTACAAACTTCTGTAATACGAGTAAGGTCGCTATTGCAGTCAAGGTATAAGACAAAGTTCGTAGAAGCTTGACATTGTGGAGAATAATGTGCTCTAAGAAGCAGGCTTTCTTTTATTTTTGAGAGCAAGTTCCATTTGCCTCCATTTTGGATTTCTCTCTTCCAACAAAATTATCCATGAAGGTATCTGCACCAAAAAAATTTAGGATATGTAACATACATTTCACAGGCATGAATCTGAAAAATGACCAAAAAAATGGAAAATTAGACTATATTTTATGGGGGGACATGAAAAAAGCGTCTAGTTGTTCAGATGGGACAATAAACCGAGGTGCTGGATGCTCCAGACTTTGCACTTTAAAGATCCTTATACAATTGGAAATCAAAAAGATTAGGTTAGTGCAGCAAAATTTACCTCATTGCAGACTGCATGACGTTGCCTGAATAAGCACAATGCAGGGCACAAATGTAACAATTCAATAATTTTTTGGTCTTCATTAAGAAGTTTAAATTCTTGATCAAAGTTGACTTTCTCAAGTGCAGAGTGCAATCAGTAGGATAAAAAAATACTTACGATTTGATAAAACTAAAAGTGTAAATTAATCGTGGAATGTAAACTTCATTTTGATTGGTTAAAATGCCCTGAACTATCATTTCCATCACTTCCTCTGTTGCTAGGGGAGGTATCACCGATGGAAACCTGTTGTCAAGGGTGAAAAAAAATACAAAATTTTTAAAAATAGTCTTATATGGAAAAAACTTCTAGATGTTCAGATGAAAAGGGGGGGGGGGGGGGGGTCATTGGTATCACCCATGTCCGTCGGTCCGGCAGTCCACAATTGCTCGTGAACACTCTAGAAGACACAATTAATGATAGATTTTGACGAGACATGGTGTAAGTGTTTATAACAATCCAATGATGAACCCTATTGAAAATCAGAAAAATTGAAAATATTTATTGAGTTATTGCCCCTATTCTGGAAAACATTAATTTTTTAGCTCGTAGACATTCTAGAAGGCACAATTGTTGACAGATTTTAACAAAACTTTGTAAAATTGTTTAATCACTCAAAAAGTTCAAAAGAAATGTATGACTGAAGGTTGAATATTTCATACTGGTGATTGTTATCGTACTGCTAAATATTTTTATTTAAAATCAAAGATGCCAGTGGGCGTATATTATCTTGTCTGGCAAGCTATCTTTTAGAGAATTTTAAGTCTGTCTGGTTGCCATGGCAATCTAGAATTAATTCACACTTTATCAAGTTTTAATTTGATCAATTACTTAGACACATATGGAATTAAAAGTACAATTTGTGTCACTATTTTAACACTGGTTCCCATGGCAACCAAATATTTTTCAACCACTGGTATGCCTCGATTGTCATCTGCTCGGTGATTAGGTGACTTAATTAAGTTTGAATTTTTTTCATGGAAGGAAAGAAAGTTCTATAGAATCTGTCTGCTACTGATCCGTTAAAGGGACAGATGTGCCATTTTTTTGACCAATCATACTTTAGTCTCAGAAACGGGAATTTTTTAGCTAAGCTAATCAGTAATAGTGTTCACTGCTTACTGTCGAAATTTGAGCCTTCAAATCCATGTGTGTCTAGAATTATCTGCGTTTGAATGTTAAAATGACGACTCATCATTTTAAGATACTCTGTGAGATATAGAAAAGATATCTATAGAAATAGTGAGTAAAATTCCTAGTTTGAGATATTTTTAAAGGAATTATGTGATTTTCGTACATTTCTAGTATTTCTGAAGACTATTTACATATATTCAAGACTCAAATCAACCCCCGAAAATGGCGCACCTGTCCCCTTATGATCAAATTATGCGCTCCAATTTTTTTTGGAAAGCTTGTATAGACTGAAGAATCCCTCATTGCACACTGCATTAGTCTTCAACAGCCTTATCAGAAGTTAAGTTCGACTGCAATAATTTCTTTTCGAAATGTTATGTTAAGCTGAAAGTCTAGTAATGAGAATGAACCCTAAGAATTCTGATGCCTGTGCCAGTGCTTCTGAGAGTGTTAAGTCTTCAAATCATTAAAAGGCTTTGCTAACCGATTTCAAGGGCCTTGGCCACGTATTCTGGAAACGATCTTAGCACTAGGATGTCATAGAATCAATGTTAGAAGATAAGAACCTAGGATGTCCTAGAATCAATGTTAGAAGATAAGAACCTAGGATATCCTAGAATCAATGTTAGAAGATAAGAACCTAGGAATTCCTAAAATCAATGTTAGAAGATAAGAACCTAGGACATCCTAGAATCAATGTTAGAAAATAAGAACCTAGGATGTCCTAGAATCAATGTTAGAAGATAAGAACCTAGGATATCCTAGAATCAATGTTAGAAGATAAGAACCTAATATCCTAGAATCAATGTTAGAAGATAAGAACCTAGGATGTCCTAGAATCAATGTTAGAAGATAAGAACCTAGGACATCCTAGAATCAATGTTAGAAGATAAGAACCTAGGATGTCCTAGAATCAATGTTAGAAGATAAGAACCTTGGATATCCTAGAAACAATGTTAGAAGATAAGAACCTAAGATATCCTAGCGCTAAGATCGTTTCCAGAATACGAGTCCTGGTATAAGGTTTTATAAGAGAAACTCTCTTATAGAAGCACTGGCCCAGGTGTTTAAACAAACCTCATTTTACAGCCTGCGAACAAACCAGTCTCTGTAAACGAAGGACAGAGAAGAGTAGTGTGAACACCATCATGTCCTGAAAATGCCAATTCATAGTTCAAGACCTCTGTAAATCCCACGACGCCAAATTTACTGGAAGAATAGTCAGCTAAGTTCTTTAGACCAATCAGGCCTGTGGAAGATGCCATGTTAATTATGTGTCCATGATTCTTCTTCAGCATATCTGGTAGGAAACACTTGACAGTCTGAAATGAATGAATGAATGAATGAATGAATGAATGAATGAATGAATGAATGAATGAATGAATGAATGAATGAATGAATGAATGAATGAATGAATGAATTTAGGGAGGGAAGATTGACGAACTGACTGATTGAATGAATGATTGATTGAATAATGGATTGGATGGATGGATGGATTGTAAAGAGGAAAGAATGAATGAATAAATGAATGAATGAATGAATTTAGGGAGGGAAGAATGACGGACTGACTGATTGAATGAATAATTGATTGAATAATGGATTGGATGGATGGATGGATGGAAATAGGAAAGAATGAATGAATAAATGGATGAATGAATTTAGGGATGAATGAATGAATGAACTGAGGGAAGGAAGGAATAAATGTCAGAAAATGAATGAATGAATGAAGAAACTTGTGAATGAATGAACTTATGAAAGGAGGAATGAGAATGAATGAATGATTTAACTTTGTGGAAAGAATGAAGAAATGCCAGATAATGAATGAATGAATTTTAAAAAATGAATGAATGAATGATTTAACTTTGTAGAATGAATGAATGAATGATTTAACTTTGTAGAATGAATGAATGATTTAACTTTGTAGAATGAATGAATGATTTAACTTTGTAGAATGAATGAATGAATGAACTTTGTAGAATGAATGAATGAATGAATGATTTAACGTTGTAGAATGAATGAATGAATGAACTTTGTAGAATGAATGAATGAATGAATGATTTAACTTTGTAGAATGAATGAATTTCAAATAATGAATGAATGAATGATTTAACTTTGTGGAATGAATGAATGAATGATTTAACTTTGTGGAATGAATGAATGAATGAATGAGGTCAAGCATGATTCATTAACCAAGACAAAGCTAAAATCAATTAGTCTAACGAATCAAAGGTCACGACCCCCAATCATACTTCATCCAAAAATAATTATGGATTTTGTCATTTGGAATCTTTTTTGTCATGCAAATTAGTCATTAGGTCCCATACTAATCACTTATACAGGGTTAATTAAAGGGATTAGGCCTGTGAATTCTTTCCGAATAATATTAAGAGGAGAAAAGTTTCAAATAAGTAGACTAAATTCATATTTTAAAGGGATAATAAGTGATCGAAATATCCACATTTGGAAATCAAAAAAATCGTTGGCCAATACGCTGTCCTGACAAAATTTCCCACATTGCACACTGCATCAGCCCAAATGAGTGCAGAAAAGTAGGACTCCTTTCATATCATTTCGTTTCATCTCATACTGCTGACATGTTAAGGATACATAATCCTCATCAGGACAACTAAATTTGGAAAAGGTCTGATGAGGGAAGTATACAATGTATTAAAGTTAGACTTACCCATAATTATGAGCAAAGTTTCCATAATACATGTATATTAAAGTTGGACTTACCCAAAACTGAGCCAATAAGTTGACTTTGAATGTTTTTTCAATCATTTCGTCAGGACACCCTAACAAGGATTTTCCTGTTGTCATGACTCCTGCGTTGTTTATTAACATGGTCACATGACCTACGTTATTCACGATGCTTTCGCCCATTTTATACACCTCTTCTCTCTTGCTGAAAAAAATGAAATTTTCTACAAAAATTATCACAAAAATTCAATTTTAAAATTTCAAAACTTTGATATGTTATATTCAAAAATTCATTTCATTTTCATATTCAAAATCTCATTTCATTTTCTTATTCAAAATTTCATTTCATTTTCATATTCAAAAATTCATTTCATTTTCTTATTCAAAATTTCATTTAATTTTCTTATTCAAAAATTCATTTCATTTTCTTATTCAAAATCTCATTTCATTTTCTTATTCAAAATTTCATTTAATTTTCTTATTCAAAATCTCAATTCATTTCATTTTCTTATTCAAAAATTCATTTCATTTTTTCATTCAAAATTTCATTTCATTTTCTTATTCAAAATTTCATTTCATTTTCATATTCAAAATTTCATTTCATTTTCTTATTCAAAAAAAAATCATTTCATTTTCTTATTCATAAATTCATTTCATTTTCTTTTTAAAAAATTCATTTCATTTTTCATTAATTTCATTTTTCATTAATAAATTACATTTCATTTTTCATTCATAAATTCATTTCATTTTTCATTCAAAAATTTATTTCATTTTCTCATATTTTTTACTCATTCAAAAAAAAAAAAAAATTCAGAAATATTAATTTACCTGACATCACAGGTGTATGGAAAACATTTTCCACCAAAGTCTTTGATCTGCCGCTCCGTTTCCACATTTTCCTGAGAATTTATATCACATAAGACAACAGTGGCACCAAGTTTGGCGAATTCCTTGGAAAGCGACCGACCAATACCGCTACCTGAACCAGTAATTAAAACGATTCACCTGCAACCGACTTTCTGTCAGGTGGGATAAAAAACTTAAAAATGGAAAGGAAAAATTCCACTAAAATATTTTTAAAAGTTACACAAAATTCTTTAAAAAGATCCATTTTGATTCTGATAAAAATTTCCCGCTTGCTCGTTCCACGGCATTGTTAAAATAAACAGCCGCAAGATCAAAGGGAAATATCGGCATGATCAAAGAAATGATGTCGTAAAAATTAAGGTTGCATAACACATTAATTTGGACAATTCATCTAATTTATTGAATATTTTTAATATATTTTCAGGTTTTTTGTCTAAATATGATTACAAATATTTAAAATTAACTGATGTTGAAAAATGTAGATGTCGTAAAAATAAACCGGAAGTCAGACCCTTTTACATCAGCACCATGTCGGCGACGTACGTGAAATTTCTTTTCTTAGTCTTTTAAATCCTAAAACATCCCCAATAATGCATTTGTTACACCCTTAATGTCGTTATAATTTACGAAATAGATATTCAAATTAAACGAATATGCACGATTTTCATCGAAAATGCTTGTTGATCGCCATTTTGGTGGATTTCAAATGACACCATTTTCATGTGTTAGCATTATGTTGAACTTTGTTTTCAAGATTCTGTAGTTTTCTGTTTGCTCATTATCAAGATCTTGATTGTGAATTGTAATGGCAACGAAAATATATAGTCTATTGTATATCTAAGGCTAATTTTCAAAATGAGATTGGCTAATTTGTGAATTGCAGAAATTGTTTCCATTCTAAGTTGACTGTGATAAACATACGTTCCATCAAAAACACAAATGAAATAGATTCTCAAGGTGTATTAATGCAAAGTTATTCTGAAGACTGAAGCAGAAACAGTCACCCATGTTCATTCTTATTAATTTATTTCTAAAGTTTTGTGACAATTCATAATGTGTGTCATTTATTTTTCAGTACCAAGAAACCCCAGGCGCCGGAGTCTCTTCTGAAGAAGAGAAAGGAGAATAAAGTTCATCGTGAGAGAGTTAAGGCTAAAGTTCTTACACAGAGAAAGGTATGTGAACTCTCTAGAGTAGTTTTATGTAGATCTAGTGTCGAACATTTCCCAGGCCCAGGATGCTTCTTGACTTTTCGAAAGATATTAGACAAACAAAATAATAAAGTGGAAAATATACCTAGATCAACAACCAAATTGAAATGTTTTTGCGCGGATCCAACAAGACTGGCAGTCAGTGTTCAAGGCTGTCTTGGCACATATGGGATTCGGAAACTTTCATGAATTATTAGGCTTTTAGTTATGAATAAAAATTTCAGCTCATGTGGCTACGCTTCGAGCATTGCATTCTGCATGGCATTTTCTTTGCATTAATCCAAATCAGGAGTGAAAATGGCGCATCATTCACAGCTTTGAGAAAGTAAAATAAAATCCAAAAGTTTTCTCAGAATACATAAAAGTTATAACTTCCACGTTTCTATTGCAGTCAAGACAACAAAAGAAGAAATTAATCTTCAAACGAGCCCAAGCCTATGTCAAGGAATATAGAGTCATGGAGAAGCAGGCACGAGGTCTTCTGAAGGTAGCCGAGAAATACGATAATTTCTATGTTCCACCAGAGCCTAAAGTTGTCTACGTCATGAGAATTCGAGGGTAAGTGGGGATTCTGTTCACATTCAGTTTTTATTGACACTGGTTAAGCTTGAAAGAGATTGTCAAGAGATTTTCTAAATTCTTTATGTGTATCAGGGACACTGATAGCA